CGTTCAGATCATAATAAGCTAGCGATTATCTTGATACCTAATTTTAGCAGACTACTCATTGATATAAAACAGAAAATTATTACTATTTTTATAATGATTATTTGTATTTATAGCCAGATATTATAGTTGAGTTTGGAAATATAATTGGAGCTAAGAAATAAAAAATAAATTCTGTCGCAGTAATTTTATATTTAATGAATATTTGATCGTATCCTAATCTATGTAAATTAAATATTAATCCTTTGTGACTGGAACTCCTGAAAAGGATTCAAAATTCACACGAATCGGTTTTTCACTTCATTGATTATGGATGCGTCACAACTTACTCCTAATAATGATTAAAATCTAATTTGAGAATACCATACAGAACGAAAAATGCCTCTTAGTGTTTTTTTTTTTTTGCATTTTACTTCTAAGAAGCTATTACAAATATACTACTCAGTCATCAAGAATTACCTTTTCTATTTTCTTCCACCAGAAAGTACTCTTCCTGATCGAATTGCTCTCATTTACACCAATACAACTGAAATTTCCTTCAGGAGTATAAAAATTTTATTTTTTTCTCAACAAAGCTATATATTTGAATACATATTCACAGAAGTTTTAAAATCTTAATTGTCACATAGGTAATTAAGACAATACCTTTCCAATAACTGATTAGTAGTAATGATAAAACTTATTCTTTTTATGTACTTATGGTATAAGCAAGCAACTGATCATCTTCACGCAAATGAAACTCACGCTTTCTCAGCCCTTTACTGACTATTTTAGGTAAATTAAAAGATGAAAAAATATAAATGGTAAGAAAAAGATTTTTTGACCCAAAGTTGGGTGTTTTCTTTCTTTTAATCATTTGCTAGTAGGATTGCAATAATGAATATAAAGATCATGATTCTCGTGCATGTGTAATAAAACAAATAATTTGAATGAAATTCACATTTAATTATTTGTGGTGAATTAACACGATTAGAATTGTTACGCTTGGCATTTCTGGCTTGAATAATAATTATTTGAATGCATTGTGGAGAAAAATTTATTCGTTTAGGTGTATTGATTTTGTTGTTTCAGTTGAATCAGAGTATTTTTTTTTTAGAAATAATTGTTATAATCGGAATATAGAAAGGTCAGGAGAACCGAAGAAAGTGAAGTAATAAAATAAAAGAAAGAAAGGAGAAAGATAGTTATGAGTTATTTACGTGACATGAAACATATTTTTATTGTTTAGGCAATTGAATTCTAATAAAATAAAAAATTCCTTAAAAAAGAATTGTTAAATATTAAGTACTGTAAATATCTATAAAATTCAAAATTTATGTCATTGGAAACACAATAAATTATATTAACTTTAAATGAAATAGGAAATGACTACTCAAAAAATTGAATGGAATGATAAATTAAAAGGAATTTGGGACTGGATATTACCAAACTCACATCCTAAATTCTAAAACCATTCACTCAAAAAAAAACAATTGGATATAATTTTTTTTCACTTTAATAATAAATAATTGCAGCTTGTTTATTATCCTGATTTATTCGGGAAAAGAATAACAGACAATTGTAGCAACGACGTACAAAAAGTTTTCCAAAAAAATATTAAAAATTGAATGTTAAAATTTATATATGTATTAAAAATCTTTAAAATATCTAGCTTTTACTTGAATGAAAAGACCTTTGGAAAAGTATTGTATCCAAACTGTGTCTGCAAAATTTTCTTCAGACAAACACAATTTCAGAAAATATCCGCTCCAAAAGCTGATTGTAAATGCTTCAACCATTTTCTCTGAGGAGATGATTATCACGTGGAAGTGTTCAACGAATGAGAACTATTTTCTACTAATATGTATGTGACATAGCAAATCTAAATATTATTTGTTACGTGGTCTTTATCTGACAATCGATATCTAAAAAATCGGACATATATCCTTTTCCAGAGGTATGTTTTTGATACTTCTATATTTAAAATATCAAAAACGTAATTTTGGTTTACCCCTACGCGTCCATTAAGGTCGATTGCTATGCTTTGGACAATCATATGTCACAATATATTACGGACTTGCAATCATTTCCTAGTTATATATAATATGCGTTAATAATATTGAACAGTAAAATTTCGTATTTGATTTTTTTTTAAAAGCAAAAGAAATGAGTAATAATTTTCCAAAGCAATTTTCTTTTGAATATTTTCATAAACAAAAAGTGGAAAAATAAAACAAGAAAATAAAATCATAAAGTAATTAGGAATCTCTAAAGATGACAAATTACAATAAACAAACTCTTTATTTTTTTTATTGGATAATTTATCGAATCAATAATAGCAATTAAATTTATTAATTTTAGAACACAAATTTTATTTTGAGTATAGAAATTATTTTAACTTTTGAATTGTAGAAAATTTATATGGATAGTTAAGTTATTAATTAAAATATAAATAGATAGTAGTAAGGATACTAGTCGTTATAGCATAAAATTTATTTAATATATACTATAAATGTGTCATTTTTTATATTTTTATTTAATAAACTTTTTAAAATGTACACGAACGTAGCTATAATTCGAAAAATCATATCTTTTGTTTCACATTTAATGTATTTAATTTCTCCTTCTAAAAAAATATTTATAATTCTGTTTAAAGGTGTGATATTAAATTTAGGGCGCGTTACATATTGAATCAATTTTAAAATAAAATTTTTAAAAATAAACCCAAATTTAAAATATACATTCCTTTATTATATTATATAATGATTGAAAATTTCATTATTTAACTATACTAATCTAATCGAAAAAAAAAAACAATTGAAAGAATATTGAAATAAAAAATTGAAATTGTTAAAAGAAATTATTGAATAATTGAAATGCAAGAAACAACTTATTTTCTTAAGTCTAAAGTAAACATTACCATCAAAATTATTCATATAACCCATCCTTTTCCGCTTTATTACATGCTTCTATTATCATCTTAAGATCATTTTCTAATTCATAAAATATTTTGATTTCTTCTTGACATCTTGTATCATCCCCAAATAATTTCTTAACTCTTTTCAAATTATTTTCCTGAAAATTTGTAGAATCGAAATCGTTTATTTCCGTTCTAATTTCGTTTGCCTTCATGATATATAAGAGTAAAGATCTTTTGATCTTATTATATGTCTTTATTTGTTTTTCGAAGTGTTCGGATATTTGCTGATATTCAGTTAATGTCTGGATTTTATATTTGTTGACTGTAGCGGCATCAGCAGATGTTTTTGTAGCATTTGCGGAGGTGTTTTTCGATTTTCTACGATTCCTTAGAATACGTAGTGGAATATCTTCTTTAGGATCATGTGATGAGGTGTCGTTCAATTTTCTTCGTTTCTTCAGTTTGATAAGTGGAATGTCTTCTTCGGATTCATAACTATCCTCTCCTCTACTACATTTATTATTTGTAGTTGCTACATTTAACTCCTTCTCCATCTCCTCTTCTAATTCTTTCAACACCTTTTCAAGATCCTCCTCATTCTTTTCCCCTTCGATAACTGCCCCCTCTTCTAATTTTGCCTCCAATTCTTTCCCTTCGATTACCACCCCTAAATTTGCTAATAATTCGCTTTTCAATTCTTTGTCCCAATCATCCATTTCATCGGATGAATAGGATGATTGGGATGAATTTTTTTCTTTCTTATTAACTTCTTCGAATTCCTCTTGTCTCTCCTTTTCTTTTCCTCCCACTACCAATAAACCTCTACCATCTCTACTACTTCTACCGCCTATATTTTTTCCACCACCACTATTTTTTCCTCTTCCACCTCTTCCTCCTACATTTGTATTACTATTACTTTTCATATTTAACGTTTTATTTGAATGATATAACGTGTATTTAGTTCTTTGAGTTTGTTGTTATTTGGCACGTTTATATAAAAACGGTCTACGTTCGGTAAGAGTAAAAATTATGAGACACAATTATTATTATTATTATAAGTTTAAGTTTAGTTTTAAGTTTTTGCTTTAAATAAAAAAAACTTGGAAAAAATTTACCTTGAGTTAATGAGAATTATTTCTTAAAGATTTTTATTATTTGAAAATATCAAAAAAATTTTTCTAAAAAGATTTAAAAAAAGAAAAAGGGGAGTTAAATGTTGGTTGGGCTGCGAATTTTTTTCTGTTGATCTTAGTTTTTTTTTCACTTGTAAATATGCAACAAAGAATATAATAAAGAAAAAAATTGCTATCATGAGATTTATGTATTATGTAAAAAAAGAATTATCATGATAATAATCATTTGATTATATCATATCACATGTAATATATTCATAAGATCAACTTTTGTAACAAATGAATAATTATACTATGAAAGATTATGTAATAATCAATGCTGCGTACTATAATTACGCTCAGTATATTTAATATATTTTATAGTATATTGTACTATCAAATATTTTCAATGATAAAGAAAACATTCTAAGAATATTTTATAATTATAATTGTTATTATAGTTTTTTTCACTTTTTTTTTTCTGCATGCATTTCGTCACGTCATTATTAAAAAAAAAATTTTCCCATAAGCCACCGGTAACCATTCCTCTCCTATATCGCCATAGTATGTATAAAAAATGAATAATTAAATTATTGAAAATAATGTAATAATTAATACCACTTGATTGTCAATAGAATTTTTTAATTTTTATAAAAAAAAAAAACTTACCAAAATGGGCAACAAAGTTAAACTGAATGATCATTATATCGATATATTATTTCACTAGGAGAAGAATGATTACCGGCGGCTTGTGGGAATTTTTTTTTAATAATAACGAAATGCATGTTATAATTTGCCCATTTTGGTAATTATTTTTTTTTGTAAAAATCCGAAAATTCTAATAACAATCAAGATATCATCTTCTTCGTTTTTTATATTAACTATAATACTTTTTATATTATGTAGTAGAGAATTCTGAAAGTATATAAGGATTTCCCTTTTTTCATTGATAATTCTTTTCCAATTTTCAAAATATTACAGAAATTTTTAAAATGTCTTCATCAAAATCATCAAAAGAAAAAACTATTCAAATTAGACGGCAATTTGGTAATAAATCTTAATTATTACTACCACTTATTATTATTATTATTACTATTTTTTATTTAATTATTCCATTACTTATTTATTCTTATTGAATTTTTTTTAGAACAATTGCCAAAGAATTTTCAAACAATTTTACATCATGTAAATATTGATGGAACCAAATTACTTGATAAATGTGAAGAAGGCCCTGAAGCAAAAGAGAAGTTGAAATCGATTTTAATGGAAATTGATTTTATTCATCTTCACTTCAAAAAGGATGAAGATAAATTATTAAAAATCGCAAGAGACGTAAGTTTATTTTTTATTATCTGATATTTTGTTTTCTTATAATAAATATTCATTATTTATAAATATATATATATATTTTAATATCAGCTATTGAGACCATTCCGAAACAAGTTTTTTGGTGCTCTTGCGATTTTTAAACCTAATGAAGAAGTGATGGCTGGTACGAAAAGAAAAAGGACTATTAAAGATAACGGGAATAAACGGGCAAAATGTTAATCCCTTTTTTTTTTTATAAATAGCTTTTTTTAATTATCTTTTATATCTTTTTTTTTTATTATAATTATAAATATCTTTTTTTTTTATTATCAATTATTTCGACTTAAATTTTCTTGTATATATTTATTTTTATTTTTTTCTTATTTCTTGTATATATTTTTTTTTATTTTATCTTATATATTTCATTAAATATCATCTATTAAATATATTAAACATAATGATCGTTTCAATTGTTTTTTATTCAAATGATTAAAAATAGTAATATAATTATAACAATAAGAAGTAAAAATATGTGATACGAGTAATAAATAACCTATAAATGTAATAATGAATATTTGAATTATTAAATAAATAATTAAAATAAATTAATTGAGTAAATGATTTTAATAATAATAAATTTTTCGAATTATTAAATAATTATTGAATAACTAATTAATTTAACAATTATCAAATAAATTTTGAATTATTAAATAATTAAAATGATTGAATATTGATATTAATAATAATCAAAGTCTGTAAAAAAATAGTACGCAGTGTAAATCTCTTACAGTTTGATTGTTAATTAATAAATAATATTTTTATGCCCTTAATCGATACAACAATTCATATGTTAGTGCTTTGAAAACCCGGTAAAGTATCACGTTATTATTGATGATAAATTTGGATTTTGATGTTAATCTCATGAAAATGCATGGGTGCAATAGTCTGGAACCTAATGTATGTATGATTATCAAATGAATTGATAATGTAATAACAGTATAAAAAAAAAGCTTATGGGTCTAAAATATGTGTCGCAGTACATGTAAATTACATCATATCGATCAAGGGAAAAAAAGAAAAAGTAGTTTGCATAGTTTAATAATTTATTTTAATCATATATTAGTTCTTCGAAAACCTGGTCAAGTGTCATCGTTATTATTGATAATAAATTTGGAAAATTAATGTTAATCTCATGAAAATGCATGGGTTCAATGGTCTGAGAACCTAATGTATGATTATCAAATATAAAAAAGTTTACAGATCTTAAAATATGTTGTACAGTACAGATAAATTACATCAGATCAAAGGAAGACGGGAAAAAGAAAAAAGGAGTTAGTTTGAATAGTTTAATAGTTAAATTTATTTATTATTTTATAGAAAAAAGTTTTAATTTGAATAGTATATTCGTATTATTATATTATTGAAAATGTGTGTATATTAATTAATTACGATCATTGCTCATGAATTTTTTTATTAATATTTTCACAGCTTACATTCTTATGGCTGATATTTTTACGGCTGATATTTTCATGGCTAATATTTTCATAGATGATCTTTTCCCAGCCGTTAAAATATCAGCCATAAGAATATAAACTTTAAAAGTCATGCGCATTAAAAACCGTGAGATAAATCAGTTATTACCCGTATTTATCATCGGCATCATAAAAATCACAGGTTGCTAGAAATATAATGATGCACAATATCTTAAATAACCCGTGATTTTTCATGATAAAACGTGAAATCACTATTACTTAATACCCCCTTTTCCTCTTTCTTCATTTTTTAATAAATAAAAAGATCAGCAAAGACAAATTTTCATTATTATACGAAAGAAAAGATTTATTTTTACCCTCTTATTAAAATCCTTTACTAAAATATCATATTGAATATTATTAAAATGATACCCAAAATTCTAAGAATAAATATAATAATAATGAAAAGAGAAAATACAGAACAATATAAAAAAGAAAATATGGTCGCCCTAGCAAACAAGAGCTGTTGATACGACTGCAACAGCAACAACGGCAAAAACAACAATTACAGTATAACAGGAACAACAATGACAACAAGAATGACAGAAACAATAAGAACGACGGCCACAACGAGAAAAACAATGTCAACAGAAACAATAAGAAAAACTAAAAGAGCATTATTAGTAACTTAACAATGACAACTCAATCAGCAACAACAAGAAAATAAAGGATAATTCATTATATTTGGTTTCATCGGTTGCAGTTTCTCAAGAATGATTGATATCAAAGGTCATATTTCTTAAGAACTACAGGATTATAGTTTCAAGAGGAATTAGATGAGGGATCGGGTATATATGAATATTTATAACTTTCTATTTTTTATCTTCATTTTTTTCAAAAAAATTATTAATAATAAATAATAATAAAGATTTAGATAACGAAGTACAAAAAAATAACTGTTCACTCAATGTTCTCATCGATTGATTGAATGACTATCTGGTGGGCTATTTATTTGAATTTGAATCAATATTGAAGGATAGATTTATTAAGAATTAATGAATTATTTAAGTTTGTAGAGCTTATTTATATATTGATTTTTATTGATTGCTAATTTGATTATTTTTTTCATTTTATTAGTGTAATAAAGCATTATGGGCTTTTTTCTGCCTTTTATATATATTACGAATATATTAAATTTTAAATTTTCTATTTTAATTAAATGGTTTTAAAAATAAAATATTGCGTTAAACGGTGAAATGGTTTCTAAATGGTTGTTTTCCTATTACTCAATATTTTATTCTAATTGGACGAAACTCATACAAAGATATGGTAGGTATTTTTTTTATCATAATATTTTTTTTGTTTAATAATTTAAAATTTAATTTCTAATTCTTTAAAAGAAGCTTACTAGTGAAGACAAAGAATTTGAATATGAAATCTAAACGAAGATCGAGTAAAGCAGTAAAGCGATTGTTTCAATTTTATTTGGGTGATTAATGAATTCGTGTAATTATTGATACTATTCTTGTTAATTATTGCATAGAATTATTACGTTTAAAAATTTTTCGTGACATTAAATATTAATTATTTTTTAATATATAAATCTTAATTTATTTTATTATATCGATCGGAAATGTTAAACGTAGACAGCATTTCAACTAAGATCATAAATTGCAACAACAAAGTTTGCTGAAACATTACAATTATATGAAGTGGCTAAAGATCTTACGGGAAATTCATGATTTTGACATTCCAGCAAGCTTGGATCTTGGTAAAAACTTGGTTCGGGAAGAAGTTGGTTGATGGAGAAATAAGAGAGGAATTAAGTCCGTTGATTGAAATCCCTTATAGATTTTAGTTTAATATGAGATTGTAGTATTCATATATAATTACGATTTTAAATCTTCACTTTTCTTTAAAATTCGTTTTACAATGTAACTCATTTAAAACATATTTATTAATAATAATAGGAAGAAAGGTCAAGAAGATAGTAATTAAATTGGTGAAATAAAAAAGAATTTGTAAACCAAACAAATCATTGAAGAAAATAGAATAAGAAATTAAGATTGAAAAAATCGATCAAACAAATGAAATGGACGAAATGAAATATATTTCAAGAAAAAGGTAATTAAAAATATTTCTCTCTCAACTATTCGAAAACATTCTTTAAATACTTCATTATTAATAAAAAAATAAATAAATAATGGCTATGAAAGAATTATTATTGCAATCCATGCCATATATATAGTATGTCCATTTTTAAAAACGAAATGAACAATGGAAAATCAAAAGGTATGGAAATTTTCTTAGATTTTATATATTTTTTTTAATATTCGCAAATAAATATATAAATAATTATATTTTTATTGAAAAAAAATAGAATTTTATTTAAAAAGCAAAAAATGTTTAACGATGCGATGTTAAGATTTAATTTAAATGATAATGGATAAATAATTTTAAGCAATACAATACATGTTCGCCTCCCACATCCTAAGAATACCATTGGCCTGATATCATTTTTTATAACATAGTATAAATAATTGCGAATTAATAGAATACTCTGTCCTGTAAAATATAAAGTTTTTTTTTTTTAAAAAAAATTACAATGTGGGTTTGTGCACTTTCTTCATAAGTGGGCCTATTTATATACGTATATATTTTAACTTAACTCAAATGCGAATGCGAATGAAGAATTTGCGTAGAATAATAAATATAAATAAATGAAATATTAATAATAATTAAAGATTATATACCATTATATCTATGTGCCATACCTCTATTGGAAGTACGTGATATTTACTATTCAATTCATTAAAACCCATGTTTAAGTTGTAGTAGCTTCTTATAAAGAACAACAAAGTGACACTCAGGCAACGATGGGTGGGACGGTAAAATCTATTTTTAGTCAGTTTCAATAAATGTAAAATAAATTATCTATCATTAAAATTTATTAGCCGTTATCATTATCATCGGGGTTATATCATCATCATTCCACAAGATATTGTCATTATTACAATTATTTTTTTATCTTCGATACATAGCTTTTAAATTAACTTCAATAAAATTTTTATGACGTTTATATCTTGATATCAAATTAATAATTGTACTAAATATATATTGTATATGTATGCTTGTCTCCGATAACCTTCTAAATTTAATATCTTCTATACTCGGGATAAAATATAGTTTAATATTACAAATTTCAATAATTATAACAAATAGAAAATAAAAAATAGAAAAATAAAATAAAAAATAAAAAACAAAATAATATAAAAAATAGAAAATAAAATAGTTGTAATTAAAGGCTAATTAATCAAGAATTACCTTCGGGATTTTTACGATTATTGAAAGTTTGATGCTAAATTCTATAATTTAAAAAACTATAAAAAATAGCATCATCCGGTGATGATGAAATATGGAAAGAAACTTGTATTAGTGCAAACCATGTAACTCGAAACGTTTCCAAAATGATTTTGATAATTGAACATGTGGAAATGATAAAATAGATAAATTCATTCAAGATGCTTGTTGAGAAGTAATAGAATGGATATCAGATGATAGATTTAAAGATGGTAAGCAAGTAGGTAGAGGTGTCTTTGGAACAATACATTATGCTAGGTGGATTTATTGACGAATTGAAAAATGGGATATGAAAATCAACAGTGAAAAAGATATCTTGAAGTCGAAGTATTAGAAGTGGCATTAAAAAAGTTTTTTAATTTTGTGAATTTAAATTATGTCTCAAATGAGGTAAATATTTAATCAACATTTAAATTTAATCCTCTAATTATCATATAACGTTTTACTATAAATTAAAAATTACTATTATTAGTTGGAAAATCACTTAAATGCAAGAAATAAAAAAGATTAGTTATCGGTTAATGCTGTAATAGTTGTAATCATTATTCATCTGTTCTTTTAAAAAAGAAAAAAAAAACGAAAATTAAATCATCCCATCGCATAGAAAACATCACCTTTGTAAAAAAAAAAATTATGTATGCAAAATAAAAAAGTAACGGATATCATATATGACAATAAATAATAAGACAATTTTTTTTACTTAAAATAGTTGTATTAAAAATGTTAATATATTTTGAAGAATGTGTGAATGGTCATATATTTGAATGTTCAAAAATAAATAAATTCTCGTAGTACTTCATACACGCGCATTGCATTAATTATTTATATTCAATCTTAACTAAACTGGACCAACAAGATTTTTATACGCTGGGAATAGCCTTTTTCAATTAGATTATTTTCTGAATATGACGAATAAAAGAAATGTTGAAATAAACTTACCTCGTTTTCCAACATCCATCAACACTTCAACTATCGACCAAAATTAAATAAAAAGCATATTATCTATTATTAAATAAATTATATTAAAATGTAACATCATGATAAAATAGATAGTTACTTTTATAATTATTATTATTATATGCTATTTTGATTACCTTTAAGGAGTTCATCACGTTCATATAGAAGAACCAAATATTTGTTCCAAATTGTACAGCAAACTATGAAATAATAAATAATATAAATAATAATTAAATAAAAATAATAAATAATAATAATATAAATATTAAAAAATAATAATACCTCTTCAATGACTTTTGAATAATAGCTCACATAATTTCCCTTTAACATATAAGCTCAAGATTTATCTAAAATTTAATAAATTATAATAGTTAAATAATAAATCACCAAATGAATCAATAAATAAATAAAAACAATAGAACATATAAACTTTTAGACAAACATTCATTATCCAAAGTTTAATCTTTTCCTCCACGGGAATTTCAATTTCCCATAAAATATTTCTTGTCATCTTAAGCTTACTTGATAATCATTCACTTTCCCTCTTAATCCTGTGGGACGATCCATTTGTTAATATTGAAATTCATGAATATGAAGAGTTAGTTTGGTTCAGCTATTATCTTCGAATCTAGCTTATCCTCATTTCCTTCTGAGGCACCATTACCATTACTTTTATTATCACTATTAATATTATTCAAGTTATTCTCTTGATTCTGATAGTCTCTTGTAGTGCTTCAAAAAAAGTTCTTGGGATCACTCTTATTAGCAATTAAGCAAATAATTCCTTTATCTATTTCATCTTACGGAGTGTAATGAAGTTGAATTACGCTTTCTTCAAATGATTCACATAGCAGAATTTAATAATGCGTAGGAATAATAAAATTATTATTTATACAAACCGTTAAAACCACTGAAGAAAACAAGTCAGAATCAAAAGGCTATAAGAAAAATTAAACTAAAAAAATTAAATTTATAGAATAAATTAGACAAATAAATAAATAAATAAATATATTGTTTAAATTAAATAAAATTAAATAAATTAAATAATAAAATAAAATAAATTACCTCCATCGCATTGGAGTGTCTTCTGAATATTATTTTGTGTTTGCTTTCTATAAAGAACAAAAGTTAGACAGCTTAATGATAATAATATTGTAGCAAAATAATTATAAAATACATTTAATTAAAAAACGAAACACATCTTGTAATTAACGAAAAGGAAAAGCTTGACACGAGTAAATAACTCAATTCATAACTCATCGAAACAATATGTGGCATTGTTATATCTACATTCGACCAAATAATCTTCTATTTTGACCTAAATCATTTCACAAAATCATTTCATAAAAAAATTGAATAAATAAAATTTCAACACCCCACATGATAATTTGATTTTTTGAATTTGATTGGTCCATAATTTGGCAGGCGATCAGAAATTTTTCACTTGTTGTTTTTACAGGGTGATGAATATTCGGTGACGAATATGTTTTCTGTAAGTAAAAAATTCTAAGTCCCCAGAATATTTAATGAAAATTGATATTCGAAGGGTGAGACACACGGTGATAAATACATGACCCATGATAAACCTAACCCTTACCCATGAAATGACCCATGATAAACCTAACCCTTACCCAAGAATTTAGCATGTGGGGGTGAAATTTCTATGGCGATAGGGTAAGATAACCAAGATTATTAGGACAACCATTACTGAAAGTGCCTGAAAAATGAAGCACGCCCTTCTAAATCTTTATGCGTGTCCAAAGTTCCACAATAATAATTATAATCATATAATGATAATGTTATTAATACACTTACCAATATCTTTTTAATGTTTTATTGTCTTTTCCTCTTTTCTTAGATTATAATTATATGTTGATAGTTGATAATAACTTAGCGTCACATCAAATTATTAGCCATGATAGTGTCTTATCTTTTATATATTAACATTTTATTCTTGGAAATTTTTTTTTATATTACAAATAACCAAATAGCAATTAATGAAATAAAAATAAAATCATAGAATTAAATTTTTTTATTATTAATTTACTTTATAATCAAAAAGTGAAAAGAAAATATTGAACTAATAAATGATCGATATATTGACCCCCATTGAGTGATATTGATTCAATTAAATAATAAATAACTAATTAATAATTAAAAACTTCGAGAAAGAGACTTAAAAATTTATTTTGAAAGTTCTTCAATGTTGCCTTTTGGAGAATAAATTTTTTAGCTTTAGCAAATTTGATTTTTGATAACACACATTGAATTGAATAAAATTTTATATAATATTCTTTAGTACTCTAAGATTCATTAGAAATGAAATGTAATTTTTCCAAAGATCGTAATAAACACAAGTAATAATTATAAATTAAACAAATAATAAAATTATAAATAATCATTTAATAAAATATATTTTAATTACTTTTTATTCTAGCTATTGGAAAAAGAATATAATAATTATAAGACCATATAAATCATCGGCTGTATTGTAATAAATAAAAATATAATTAATGCATTGAAATTTCTTTTAATAATTCAAAAAAATAAAAAGATTTTCAATCATATTGTTGCTTCCTTTTTTTAGATGCATCCCTTAATCCGATGTAATTAATATTCTTTTGTTCTTAATGGCGTAGAATGATTGCATAAATTATATTACTAATTTAAATAAAAGCTGTAAAAGATATTAATTGTTGACATTCACGTTTTCATAGCTTCTTTGATTAATTGAATACTTAAATTAAAATAATGAGGTGCATAATATAATAGTCAATAATTATCATACATCACAATTAATAATTGAGATTATCAAAAGTCACAGTCTAGAATGTAGACTAAACAGAATTGGAAATATGAAGTGTGAAAATATTGATTTTAATAATTATAACAATTATACAATATATTTATTTATCAATTGTATAGATATAATAATTTTATATTTAATTATATAGTAAAAAGAGACAGGGGTTAGAAACATAAAGAATTAGATATAAAAGACCTCTAGAATTCCTCACTTTCGAAAAATCAAAATTTCAAAATTTTAAAATTTATAATTTCAACAACTATTATAACTATTCCATAATGGCAAAAAGAAATTTCTCAGAAATTAAAAGCTCAACTTCCCCAAGAAGATCCATAAGAATAGCGGAAAGAGGTAACAATAATAATATTATTGCTTCTTTTCGCATTATCTTTTTTTTCTCTAAAAAATTTTATTTTTCACAAAAAATAATTGTATCATTACTATTCATTAGAATTTGATATTAAATACAAAATTTTCTTTTATTTTATTTTTAAACAACAGCTGCGCTACCACAGCCATCATCACTCTCAACTACCACCCCATCACCAAAGAAGCGAGGTCGTCCTCCAAAAAGGGGTCGTGGACGACCTAGAAAAGATTCAAGTAATATTAAGGCAGAAGGTAAATAATAATTATTATTTTTTGAATTTGAATTAATTTAAATAATTTTATTAATTATAAATATTATTTATTTAAAGAATCTGTCAAACGTCCACGTGGTCGGCCACCAAAAAGGCCAAAAATTAATAATGATGATACTAATAACAACAATAATAATATCGATAATAATAATATCAATAATAATAGTATCGATAATAATAATAATAATAATAATAATAACAATAATAATAATCAAATTAATAATAATGATGATAATGATATGAATGTAAGTATAATCGTTAATTATAAATATTTTTAAAAATTAATTTCTAATATATTTACATTATATTAATTTTTATTTAAATTATATAGGATGACGGAAGTGAAAGCGGGGAAGATAATATGTCCCACTTGCTTAATGATAATCCCTTGATGATGCTAGCTAATGTATCATTATTCAATTAAAATTTAAATATCTTTAAATACGAAAAAATTTTTTCTTCTTTTATTTCTTTTTTTAAATTTATCATGTATTTCCAATTTTTAAATAAAAATATTTGTGAAAATAATAAGGGTCTTTTTTTTTTTGATTAATTTTATTTTATTAATGTGAAATATCAAATAATTTAAAATAATTATATTAAAAATATAATAGAAAAAATAATAATATAAATATAAATATACAATAATAATAAAAGAAATGTAAATGATAATATGATAATATAATAAATATATATAAATAAAATATGATTAATTGCATCGAATAAATATATTTCTAGAATTGAAATTATATTATTTAAACTTTAAATATATGAGAATAATAAAATATATGGTTTGTTTTTGCAATTATTGTACAATAATCGCGTACAAAGTAATTTTAATTTAATTAAAAAAGTTTAATAGCGAAAATTAACTATGAATATTTTTATAAAATTCAGCTTTAAGCCAAGTATATTAACAAGATAAGAAACTTGAGGCTCAGAAATGATTATCTTACAAAAAATCAATATAATTTTTTCTGAAAGTATTTTAGTTTCATTTGTAATATATCGATAATTTTTATTTTTTTTTATTAACTTAAAATAATGAAAACTATAATAAATGAAAGTAACTTCAAATGTTCACTTTTGTTAAAAAAAACTTTGTAATAAAAATTATCGCATTTAAATAATTAATCATATAAATAGTATACTGTTTAAAATCATTCAAAAATACACCTCATAATAAAGTATAATGTAAAAAAAATAATAAATATAATTATCAATAGAAAATTAAATTTTTATTCGGATAATTTTTTTCCTCTTCTTCTATTGATATTATTATTATGTCAATAAAATATAAAAAGTGTAAACAATTAAATAAAATAAAGACTAGTTTTATTTTTTTTTATAATTATTATTGTTGTTTTCACATTATTAAAGAATATTAATTAACAAAAGGCAAATGACTATTTTAATATTGTTAATTAATAATTGACCGTAATACCCAGTTACTAATTACTAATTTTCAATTATTGATTATTAATAATTATAATTTAATGAGTATAATATAGTTTTTATCAATCAAATATATAAATTAGACAATATCTTATAATAATGTGACTATTATTGATAATCTTTACTTTTTGCTGATTATTTGAAAGATGATTGTAATAGTGATTTCCGTAATTGCAAGTCTACTGTAACTGTATAAATATAAACTATATAACTATTATTATTATCTGATGTAATTGACTATCAAATCTTATGCATAAATTATTTAATGTAATTTATTTATTATTATTATTTAATCAAAGAAAAAAAAATAATCCTGAAAAAAAAATCTTATTATTATTTTTTGAATACAATTTCATTACGTTACCAATATTAGGAATTTTACATGATTCACATGGTTTATTTGGATTAGCATTTTTTTTGAAATAATAATCAATGCCATTCTGCTACTAATCCATATATGGAAAATTTTCACCTTATTATATGAAGAATAAAAAACTTGGCTAAAAAAAAGAACGTGTTTATATTTTCCATTTTAATCTGCAGTATTATGGTTATTATTCATATTCGCTCAGAATTGAAAAGATTTTTTAATATTATGTACTAATTGAATAATTTTAATAATAAAATGCTATATTTTTAAATAATATCATTTTCATTTATTTATGAAAAAAATTTTTTTTTTTGATTCGAACTTTTTCTATAAATAAGACCATTTATCTTTTTTCTTTCCTCAAAAAAATAAAAAATTGCAATCTGAATCAGTAAACTCATATATTAATTATAAATTGAAATATATTCTCAAAAATATATTCTCACAAATAAAGATCCTAAAAATCATTTAAAAATGGTCCTAACACGATCTCAACATCGAGCTCAACAAGCTCAACAAACCCAACAGCAACTACCCCAACAACAATCCTCACAAAGAGGTCGGGAAAAGCCCAGAAGGAACCTAAATAATCAACAAATACAAAATATAACAAAAAGGGGTCGCGGACGACCAAGAAAACATCAACAACAGCAAGAACAACAACAATTCCAACAACAACTCCAACAACTACAACAACAAAATTATCAACAGCAACAACTCCTACAACAACAACAACAACAACTTCAACAATTTCAACAATTCCAACAACAACAACAACAACAACAACAACAACAACAAATCCAACAACAACAACAACAACAACAAATTCAACAACTACAACTTCAACTACAACAGCAACAACAAGAAAATCAAAGATTTCGAAGTCACTTCGACCAACTCCAACTTGATCACATCAGGTTGAGATTGGAATTAGAAACAAGTTCACAGGAACAATAAAATAATAATGATAATAATATTAATATTAATACAATTAATATTTATAATATAAATTTATAAATGCAAATATTATGTTGTTTATATAAATCATATAAAACAAATTTCCGTTTTTTTTTTATTATTAAATATGTATTTTTTTTTTATTTTATCATTAAATTTCATTTTTTAATTATTTTATTATTAAATATTCGCTATTTTCTTTTTTTTTTAAATAAAAATGAAATTTTTAAAAAAATTAAGGGATTCTTTTCTTTTATTATTGTTATTAAAAATTACAGTTGATAAATGTATTAAAATGAAGCATAAATTGAATAATGAAATAGATTTAATACATAACATTCTATCATTTACTTTTTAATCATTCAATTTTCTAATCCAAATCATGATATTAATCATTTATTTTTTTTTAGCTATACTACAAAGTAATTTAATTTTAGATAATAATGATGATATGTTCGTGTATCTAAATTTAAATGATTCAAACGAAAGAAATAAATATAATCTATATAAATCATTTTATTGCCTTTCTCACTTTTCTTATGATTAAAATTATATTTTGATGGTTGATAATAATTTAGCATCTCATTAAATTACATTTAATTTATCAATATATCAATTATAATAATCACCTTTGAGTAATATTGATTCAATTAAATAATAACTGGCTAATTACTATTATTGTTGTTATTATTAGAATTATTATATTTTTCGCGTATCTTCGATAAAATATTCTAATTTATGTTAAACTTCAATAAAATATTAGATGCTTAAGCTTATACTAATAAAAAATATATGCTGTCTTCAATAATTATTTACATTTAATTTAAATAAACTAACATAAATATTTGATCCATTTCATATATTATAATTATACAACCAAATCAAAATATTGCTTCATATGATTTTTGATTTAACTAACTTTTGCTTCATACTAATTAAACTAAAATATAAAGCAAATATTTACAATACATAATTAATTTACTTAGATGATTACTATAATGTTTCTCCTTGATTTGAATCTTTTTTGCAATTGATTTTATTATTTATACAAATTTAAGATTGATTCTACCAACCATTTAATAAAATTATAATAATTATTTATATTTTGTAAAAAAATGAATTTTGAAAATAAAGCGAAATATAAGATGTAACGAATTTATACTAAAGATTTTTTAATGATTAGAATACAAAAAATAACAAAATAAATATAATGACTATAAATATATCTAAGTTCTCTGAAACATCTAAATCCGATTCCCTGTAAGACATTTAACCTATACATAATTGCAACGTTTCAGCAATCTTGTTAAAATTTATTATCTTCATTGTTCACGAGACTGTTCAAAATTTCATGCATATCTGATATTTCTGATAGATTTAATAGGATTTATAAATTAAAAAAAAATAATAATAAAGAAATATAATAATTCTAATTTAAAAACAATTTTTCCTTTTCTGTAATAATTAAAATAATTCTGAATGAATATAAAATGAAATATTTAACAAAAATAATATCGACAATTTTCATGAAATAATTAATCACCCAAATAAATTAAACAATTACTTTATTTGATCTTAGGATTTCATATTCAAATTCTTCGGAGAAATCATAAAATTAGAAATTAAATTATAAATTATTAACTAACAAAACGATAATTAAAAATTACTTACCATATCTTTGTCTGAATAGAAAACAATGCAATGTAACCACTAGAAATCATTCTGATCCATTATTTGATTAATACAATTAAAATAATTCCATTTTATAAACATTGAAAATAAATATTTATTAATAATAAAGAGAAAGTGTAAAAAGCCAAAAATAAAATGAAAAATAAAAAAAAAAGGAAAATGATAAAAATGTAATTTATTTATGACTTAACATATAATTTAAGATACGTAAGCTTTTTTTTATTTATTTAATAAATATAATAAAAATTATCTGATGCTGATGTAATATTTTATTTAATAATTCGAAAATTTATTAGTATGTTTATTGATTATCATATCATTTTAATTATTTAATATAATAATTCAAATATTTATTATTTTATAAGAAAAATTAATAAAAAATATATTTTCAGTACATGAAATAAAAAAAGAAATATATACATAGAATAGAGTATCAACTATTGCATATTTTCACCTTTTACTATTTTACTTTCTGTGTATCGTATTATATTTCTTCTATATAATTATTAATAATTATTACATCTAATTATTACATCAGGTTTAATTATCTTTAATCATGATTTCATTTTTAAAAAATTTTAAACCCTATCAAAAAATATTCAAATATAAAAATTTTCTTAAGTCTCAAAGAAATAATATCCCAACCAATTTTATAAATAACAATAATCTAATTTAAAAGAATTCAAATACACGATACATTATTCAATTAAAACATTCGTAATGAAAAATAAAGATAAAATAAATACAGTTCAACAGGTGGAAGAGATGGAGGAGGGAAAAGAGGAAAAAATAGAGGTAGTGGAGGAAATAGAGATGTTTGAAGTGGCAGAGTGTTAGCGGTGGTAGTGGGACAAAACTGGTAATGGTAATAACTCCTAACAACTTCATTAAGTAAGAGAAGTCGATAGAGGAGATGAAGGAGAAATTCCACTTTATTACTCTGAGGAGATGATGTTTTTGAAGGAGATATTCCACTTTATTACTCTGAGGAAACGAAGAAAATTTGATTGTTTTGAATTTGTGGGGATTAAGTCAAAGTGGTTTCTTGTATTTTCTAATTATTTCAATTATTCCGTCCAATCTCTTTAATCAATTCTCTCAATTATTTCGTTAAATTATTTTTTTAAATTATTTCAATCAATTCATTCAATTATTTGTAATTTTATTCCATTTATATCTAGAAAATAATAATTTAGAGTATGTAGTTTATTTTGTTAGCATATTAATTTTTGTTTAAATTAAGATTTAATCTTGGTAAACAAATATATAAATATGATATTTATCATATTTGAAACCACATAATGAAATATAATGATTCTAATTAACATTACTACGTGACAATGAAAACAACTTTAGACTATTAATAATTCATAATATTCCTGGCGGCAAAAATAATTTAATCTAATTTCTAGTTTAATTGATTCATAAAATTTTAAAATTTTTTTTTAAAATAATTCATTAAAAGTCAATATTATTGTAATTATTTTATCTATATATATGTATTTATTTATTTTCCTATACAAATACATGAATTTTTAGTTAGATATTCCAAATTCTCGAAGATGAGTCTTTCAAACCTCTATTTAAAAAATTCAATTCTCTTCGTATAACTTCTTTATCAAATGCCAAATTGACTTGCTGAAGTTACTACTTAATTATATTCTATATACTGGTCATTTTCTTTAAATATTTATTAACTTCATTTAAAGTAATAAATATTAATCGTCACTTGGAGATCAAGTTAATGTACAAATTAATTTAATAATTAGCGAAATACATTTAATTAAATTTATTAACGAATTTATTACGAGAGTTTAATTTTTATCTCAAATAATAAATATTATTGTCACATTAAATGTACAATACAATTACATCACTTAGAGATCTTGTGACAAATAAATTAATTTAAATTAAGTTAATAATAAATAAATAAAAATTAAAAACAGATCAAATTTACAGTATATATTGTAAATATAATATTTTTTAAATGAAAATTATTTATTAAAAAAATTGTAGAATTCAACGTCAAACCTTCAAGAATCAGGAAGGTAATTCTTGATTAATTAGTCTTCATATTAAGTTAATAGAAATCAATTATTTATATTTTTAAATATCATCGATTTACATTTCTATTAAATTTTTTTAGTCATTAAGAAATATATTTTTTATTAAAGATTCCTTTTCTTTCTAATGTAATATTTTTCCTCCTAAAGCACAGCTTCCATTACATCACTACTACACAATTATTAAAATACAATATGATAATTTATGTCTAATCATTTAATGAAGTATTTCCTATCATATGGAAAATATTAATACTCAAATAATAAAATGGAATAATAAAATGAAAATTGAAATTCAATAATAAAAGAAAAAAATTATACAAAAAAAAAATCCTTGGAGGCACGTTTTTTCAAAATTATAGTTACACGTAACATTTATATTTGAAAAAAAATTATTAAAATAATTAATATATAAAATAATGCATTTGCAGTATTATTAAATAAATTTTTACCCATTTTCAATATAAACTATTTCCTGTAAAATAATCTTTATTAGATATTTAAAAAATTAAGATTATTGGATAGGTGATTAAATGTTATACACCTTTAGCTGATTCCAAGGACACTGAATTGCTTCTTCATTATCTTTTATAGTTCCAAGGCTAGATATTCTGTTAAATTCAATCTTGAGACATGCTGACAAATGGCAGGTTGCTCTCATTAAAAATTTTTTTTATTAAATTAAATTGAGTTCATTATTATTATTATTTTACATATATTGTGCTAACAATTGCCATACTTTCTGTCATTGGGATCACTGGTTTACTAAATTCCAAATTGATTTTACATATTGTCTCATATCACTGGAACTACGGGGATTTTTCACGCCCAATTAAGTACAAACTCATTTAGAATAGTTTTAAATAAAAAATAGTTGGAACGGGTGAATAAAAAATTTAAGAAATATATGAAAGGATTAATTAGGAAAACATTGTGAGCAGTATTCAAAAGTAGGCCCCATCTTTTCAAAAGGAATGCTTATTAAGGCGAATTGTTTTAATTAATTATTTTTTTTTAATTTAAACTCAAGTACCGTAATCTGCCGCACAAAGTACCCGCTGTGGCAAAGTATTCCCTGTGAAATATACCCAAGTACATCTCATAGGTTTGAGTTTTGGTAGGGTATATTGTACCCGGGTACAATTTATAGTATTATATATTTTAGATTTTTACACGCCATGAAATCAATAAAGAACCAATTTTATTTATTATTAATGATCAATTAAAATTTTATTTATTATTTCATTATAATTATTATTACTATTATTATATTATTATTATTACCTATTATATTTATTATTGTGATTATTATTATTATTATATTTATTATTACGATTATTATTATTATATTATTATTATTATAAATTATTATTATTTATATATCTCCCCATAAATTTTCATAATCAATTATTTCGTCTTTGTAATAAACATAATCCCTATTATTATTATCACTATCATTATAACTATTACTATTATTATTACTATTATCATTATCATCATCAGTTTTATAAACTTCATTATCTTCGCCACTATTATCCCTAGTTTCATAAACTTCATTACCTTCACCATTATTATCACTAATTTCATAAACTTCATCACCTTCACCATTATTATCACTAATTTCACAAACTTCATTATCTTCGTCATTATTATTACTAATTTCATAAACTTCATTATCTTCGTCATTATTATTACTAATTTCATCATTATTATCGTTAATCTCATCACTTCCATTTTCTATATCATTATCCAAATATACAAAATTTCCACCACTTTTTCTTTTTCCATTCATCCAATCATAATCAAAAATATATTTATCTTCTGAGCCATCACGGGAATTTGATATTCCACAACATTTAAATGAACGTTGAATAAGCATTGGATCAATATTATCCCATGAAGTTTTTACCCATTCCGCAACTAAATTATATGCAGAAAGTTGTATACGTCCAGTTGGTGTCAATTTTTTTATTTCTTCAGCTATCCAATTATTATAACATTGGCGGTACTATAATTAATTAAAAATAAAAAATCAATTATCATAATATAGACAAAACTATAATTAATTAATTAATTATAGTATTACCAGATTTATTTTTATTAAATTTATTTAATTAAATAAATATAAATTTAATAATGACTTAAAAATAATAAATTCAAAATGAATTAAAATAAAATAAAAAAATTAAATAATATTGGCGAATTATAATTAATTAAACAAATTAAATAATAACTTAAAAGTTTTAAATAAATTTAATAAAAAAATAATAAAATTCGAAACAAAATAAAATAAAATAAAATAATACCTTGTTTTTAAATGATTTATTGATGCTTACATCAAGTGGTTGCAATTTACTTGTTAAACCACCTGGAATAACAGTTAAATTTGTTTTTTTTTATCAAATCTATTTTTTACAGGATCTGTTAGATGACCATGAAATGAATCTAACACAAGTAATGAACGCGGATCAATAGATCTCATGGTACGTTGATTCCAGATATTTTCAATTCACCAAATCATTTTATCTGAATTCATATATCCTTCACGGTTTGTACAAATCATAACACCAGATGGAAAAATTTGTTGTGGAACATTTACAAGTTTAAAAATTATTAATGGTAGCAATTTATTACCATTTTCCATACAAGAAAGTACCACAGTAAAATTGGATTTTTCATGTCCAGTGGTACGTATACTAACTGTCCTTGCACCTGTTTCTTCTACAGTAATATTGCTAGGTATATCAAAAGTTAAAGGAGTCTCATCTATATTTCCAATTAATTTTAAAGGATAATCATGTTGAATATGGTGATAAAGAATGAAATTCAAAAATTTGTATTGCTTTTCTACTAAATCTTCTGGTAATCTTTGTGCTATCATTGTATGATGGTGATTACTAAGTTTATAATGGTGCATAAATCCTATTAACTATCTCTCACCCCATTTACATTCTGATATATTAGGATAAATTGAAATGTATTGTAATTTTGTTGACAGGAATTTGGCTTTTTCATGTATCATATAACGTGAAACTACTTTTTGTTTGAGCACAGAAATTTAACCCATTGGAAAAGTTTTACTTCAAGTATTGGATATTGAGGTTTTGCACCAACAGTAAGTTTTTTAATATGTGGTTTTGCTAATAAAAGTTGTTCTTTTTTTTTGAGCCAGTCTCTCAATTGTTTAGGTTCTATATTAAATTTTGTTGCTACATTACATTTAGAAACTTGTGGATTTTTTTCAAAGAATGTAATAATTGTTAACTTTTCTCTTGCATTCCAACTTCTCTTCTTTTTAGTTGTAATTGTTGCTTTTTTTAAAAGGTCTAGATTTTGTGTCATTTTATTTAAAAAAAGAAAAATTTTAATGCAATTTGACACGTATGACGTGTACAAATATTATATTGTCACAGTCTACACAGAACAATATTGGAAGTCAAGCCAATCAGTCTCAATAAATTTAGGATGATCACACAATAATTCAATGTTTTATTAACACTTTATTTCTTGTGTGCAATATCTGGAACACAGCAAGATAGGCAATTAGTTGATCTAAACCTACTTACTAATACTTACAAACAATAATGCAATTACATATATGATCTGAAAGTATGATGAGCAAGTGGGGTAAAAGTATCTTTAACAACTACTTGCACACTACCAAAACTATTGTAGACTTTTTGATGTAACTTGCCAAGAAATACAAAAAATAGTTTATTATATTTTATTAAAGTTTAATATCGGATATAACAAAAGTAATATATTACTGCTTTGGCATATCTTATCACTTTTGTTATTCCGTTACACTAAATTTATGTCCAAAATTATTACAAAAATATAAAAGAAATAAAAGAGAATAACAATAGTGATATATTACTGCTTTGACATATCTTATCGCTTCGCTAGTCCCGTGACTATATTATTTATTATTATTAAAGGGTATTACGAATGAAAAGTAAAAATAAAACTAAATTAAAATGTTCCAAATATTTAAGTAAAAAAAATAAAACAAATTAAAATTGTTCAAATATCAAGTAAAATGTTTTTATTTTTGGTTCTTGTTCTTTTTGGCGAAAAGGAATCTCTCCTTTCTCCTTTTTTTCACTAGTTATTTTTATACCTTTCAATTTGTTCTCTTTTTCCTTTTGTTTTCACGTTTTAACAAGTTTTCTTCTTTTTTTTCTTTGAGGATAACACACGAGGATGAAAGATGTTGTGCAAGGATGATAAATCTGTCATCTAGATGGTAGCACACTCATCCTCAGATAACACTGTCATCTTACTACCATCTCTTGTGACATTTGTAACTTTCTGCAATCCTCGTATAGCATTCCCTGTGGCATTTGTGCCACCTCAATATATAGTAACTTATGATTTGTACCCCTCATTTTATACTCTCTAAACAAAAACCCATGTTAAGCAAAATATCTACTCCCATACAAAATATCCCTCTGGGTACAATTCAAGTTTTTGGGGTGAGGTGTAAGATACCTGGAGCTTTTGGTCAGCAGATTATGGTACTAAAGTTGATGAAATTTAAGTATTACATATTAATGATTATAATAAATATTTTTGAAGAAATAAAAATACTTTTTCCAAAATAACAATATCACGAGATATCATGATATGTCTAGTTTATCACACGGAGACTAGTGCTTATGATAATTTTATTGATTAATAAAAAAACAATACATTAATATAAAAAAAAATTAATTATTATTGCATGAATGTAAAAATTATTAAAAAAAATAAATCATTTTTATATTTTTACTTTAAATTTTTTATTTTGCAAGTTCAATACTAGATAATAATATAATCCTTAAAGAAATCTAATTGAAATTTAATAAAAATATTCAATTTCTATATCCACAAAAAACAGTTAAAAATAATCTTAAAGTAATTCAAAATTGAATTATCAATGATAATAAATTTGTATAAAAGAATCTCCACGGTGTTTAAAAATATCCCACAGAATTTCATAGTCTGTAAAGTGACCAATTAGTAAATGTGAATAAAAAATAAAATTAAATAATTATCAATATTTCACATAGTGCCAAAGTTCAATAAAATATCTCTACTAATAGTAAAACTCTAATATGTTACCTTTAAAAGAATTTTGATTGGTAGATTTCATGTTCTGTGATTATTTTTTTTTGTAATTTTAATTGGTCGTATTGATTGCTACATGATTGCGAGTGTTAGTATCAAAATGTGATGGATTTGTAGGAAAGGTAATCATTATCAGATGATTACACAAACTAGCTTTTGAGATTTATTTATGTTTAACATAGAACAACGAAAGAGCAAAGTAATCTCATGAGAAACATTAAAATAAATTTTTCCTTAATCAAAGAATTTACAGAAGATGGAAATTAGTATAACAAAGTGAAACATGAAATTCATTTTTTTCAGAAGTTTAAGAATAATAAAGGAGTAAATAAGTGATTTAAAAATGTCTCTATTTATAATCTTGATCAGATTCTGTGATTATTGTTATTATATCTAGTATAGAAATTGGAGTGTAGATATGTATTATTATCATAGATACTGAGGATGCATGAATTTTACATGGAATATGCATGGGATTTCAAATTGTTGCAAGTGTCACAGGAGATGACAGTAAGATGACAGTGTAACAGGATGAGTGTGTTACCTTCTAGATGACAGATTTCTCATCCTTATATATTGTCCTTCATTCTTGTGTATAATCTTTAAAAATAGAAAAGAACTTGTTTAGACGTGACAACAAAGGATGAAGAAAAACAAGTTTGAAAGTATATAAAATAAACTAGTAATTTAGGATGTGAGGGGAATTGGTTCATTTTTGCAATTTTTATAATTTTTAATTTTCTCTTGGTACATTTTAAATAATTACAAAAATCTTTCATCTAATTTGTAATAAAATAATAAATAATCTTTTGGTATACATTTTTGTAATAAAAATTAAATAGTAGAGATAGAAACATATTGTTTTAATTTAGCAACAAAGATAAGACATGCCAAAGCAGTGATATATTTTTGTTGTTATATCTTTGCAATAAATTTAATAGTTTCAATATACTCCATAATAATTTGATATATTTTAAATATTTTATTTCATGATAATGGTAATATTGATAAAAAACAATTAACATCCCGTAATATCTTATTATTAATTTTGTAATTTCTTGAATAAAGTTACTGAATAAAGTCTGAAGCTAAGATTTGAAAGTTTATGTAGTAAGCCGTAAAAGGATACTTTTACTCCATTTACTCACGGATCTTCAGATCACACCTATGTGTACTGTATTAGAGTTTATTATATATATATATCTGTTTGTTGCAAGTAGGCAAGTGACTGTTTGATCCTATTGGTAAATAGTGGGCATTATGAAATATTGCATACAAGAGTACATTGAGCTAGTATGAAAAAGAGGTGTGATGAGAGTTCAATTTAGTGAAACTGATTAATGTAACTTTACTCTCGTTCTGAGTAGACTGTTATAATACTTTAAATATTTAAAAAATATTTTACATACTTATATGAAAATGTTAACTATTATTATTAAAAATTTTTTCAAATATTAAAATGATATCATTATTCTTAAAAAATACCCCTTAAATTGTCATTATTGTATCATTGTGTTATTGTCTTTCTATTCTTAAAAATACTCCTTTGATATGATTATGTTTACAAAGTTACTTCATTTTTTAAGACAATAAACTTTCATTATAAGTTATACTATTAGTACAGTTATTTACATATAATTAAAAAAATACGTGATAGTAAATTTCATATAAATTTGTATTTATAGAAAAAAAAAAGATACTATGCTTTAGTAGAGATTTTAATGTATTGTTAATTTGTTTGTTTATTATTATCTTGAGTTATTAATTATGACACATGTGACACTTTATTTTACAAGAGAAGAATGGAAAAGAACTAGAACCAATCAAAAATGTTAAGCTAGAATGCTAAACTCTAAAAAAAACAATATCAATATTAGAAATAATATGATATAAGTACTCACCATACACAGCATTTAGTTTCAAATAAATTATATAGATCACATAATTTGGCATATAATTTTTTAGAAAAGATATCCATTATTGATAATCCTTTGCCTCACCAGATTACCCTTGCTAATTGTATTACATGTATATATTGTAATGCAATCAAATTATTAGCTAAAAGATCTGGAATATGATGTTTTAACTAGAATATAAAATTAACAGAATTAAATATTCTTATGCTATTGTAATGTTTACTTTGTAATCAAGATAATAAATCTAAAATTTTCAGAATAAAATTTGTATTTATAATTCAATATTTTCTTTTGCTTCAGTTTGTGTTAGGTTAGATCATGAACTAGCCAATATGAAAGTGGATGTATATACTTTTTATGTGCAAGGTTATTTCTACCATCAAATCAGTTCATTGCTGCTGGAACTGAGCTCTAATTCACAATATCTACAAATGTATACCTGGAATACAAATTATGAAATTAAATATTGGTTAAATACTATTTCAAATACTGATATTAATTTCACAACTGTACAAACCTTAAAAAAAATGCTTGATATAAACAATCCATATTTTACTTATTTATAATGTATTTTCAAGATATCTTATCATTGTATTATAAAACTATCTTTGGTCATTCACACCAACATTCCTGAATTGGATCAGAAGATCAACAATGTATTCACTGCACCATAAGTAACCATGATCTGAATAAATGAAGATGTACCACCTAACATAGAACAAAAATGTGATATCATATTACACACGAAAATAGATAATTAATATGTATATTAGAATATGCTAGATATTATAATCCATTAACTTATTCTCTTCTCTTTCTTTGAGGTGAACAAAGATAGATATCCCATTGTATACCTTATAACAATCTCTCAAATACACTGATGCAAATAAATAATGATAAAAGTGATCATGATAAGTATAATAATAAAGATAATAATTCAACCTACAGAAAAAAGTTTGTCATCACAATAGAATATTACTTTTTCAGAATTCAAATAAGACACAATTTTATCAATTTTATCTTAAAGTTAACATGTATATTTCAACAATACATAATAGATATGTGCATTAAAATAGAAACTAATCACTTAAACTTTTTATAAAAATTAGATCAAGATATATTGTGAATTGTACCAAGGCATTTGGGATACTATTTTCCGTGAAGACAATAACTTATATTATATAGGTCACAAAATAATCCTCCTTGCAACATTTGTTAAAAGTTTTTACAATATGTTTCAATGTTGTCAAGATGCAATTGGTTTGGTCCATATTGAAAAACCAGATTTATTTATTATCATAACCTATAATCTGAAAT